CGTATACTTTTTAAAGAACTCTCAACAACTTCTTTTTCCTGTTCTTTCGGATAAATTTGGTTTCTCCTACTTGAATTTTGATCTGTGCTGCTCAGGAAACACATTTTTTCCTTAAAACACTTTGACTTGCAAAGTTGTACTTTTGACTCTTCTCAATGGCTTTATTTTTTGCACTACGCAAACAGCTTAGTTTAACTGACTGCCGCCATTGCCAGCAGATTAGTAGCAAGTGAAAAAGAGGCAGCATTTAAAAGAAAGGTATGTTAAATTTTACCACTGGCGATTCAGGACTTTGGATGGTCCAGATCACATCAAAGGGAACGGCAGCGATGAGATCAAGAATGAACCATCCACGAATGTAGTTCAGAGCGATTTCCTTCGAGTGATGAACAACTTGTCCACTTTTACTGACAAATGTTGTCCGAAAATTCAGTAGTATATCTATAAGCACATAAAGCCTTCAAAAGTACGTATCTACGTAGGCATGAGGTGACTAATGGTGTAAAAGTAAGCTAAACTGTTGTGTGCTTTTCGCCCATTTGGATCTATTAAACCGACCCATTCGGACAGACTTCTTAATGTATTGTGAGTCTGCCAAATATTTACTGCATCACATGGCCAAAGGTCCGTGTAAAGCCTACTTGGTTGCTACGACAAATTGTTTGTAAATGGTCCTGACGAGAGTGCGTCTGTGCATTGTTTATTTACCCACGAGGAGAGAGGCATAAACAAGCTGTCTCCGATGTTGCCTAGGCTAGCAAACAGGTCCACTATGTTTACTCCTGAGATCAAAGTCTATGCTGGCGATTGTATCCCAGGCCTACAATTTTTCACAAGCACTATTATGGGGTCATTATTCCTTGGCATTTGCAAAGATTGAAAATCAACCTCACACTCATAAGACAATGTGACTTCAAATTTGCAACCTTCCCAATTGTTGAAATGCTTTGCTGTTGAGGCACTAGCATTGCCGCTAGGTTAGTGCATCAGTCCGTTGGAGAGGCATTGGAACTATAACTAAGGCGGATTTTACTGGCCCAGGCAAACGAAGCCTCAATCAAGGCAAACACCTTAACTGTCCAGGTTAGATAACAACGATGGGTCCAAAGGCTTACCTCAAGCAGTTCACACAAGGCTGATTGAGCGATTAAAGGTGGAGACGATCTTCGTAACAAACTATACTTCAAAGGTGAAGAACATGGGTTTTGCTTTTTAAGCCTAACTTTCATCCTCCAGGTTTCGGCCTTAGCGAGATGTGTGAAAGTGTGTACTAAGCATGCCGTTTTCGTGTTTCATGGAACAAAGCACCTACCATCTCTCTGCATCGGCACACGCCTCACCCTAATTCAACTTCATCAGGGACCGATTTGGCACCTCCCCAAAGCAGGTTCGCATTAACTCACTCGTCAAACTGTGCAAAATTCCCATTCTTGTCAAATTTTGTGCGATCATTTACCTATTTCCTCTATAGCCAAGTTGTTTTGACAAATGCAGTCGTAAAACAGTCCAAGAATTGAACTGGTATGCATATTTTTTTCCAAAACTTCTTTTAAAACTAACTTGTTTTTTTTCCCTGTTTGCTTATACCATTTGATGTTAAAAATTGGCAACTGGGTCGAATGTATCATAAGCTCCCCTGTTGGCTTTCGACACTGCTAAATGGAGTTACTTCGACCATTTTCGCCATGGAAAGAATGGGCTGAAACCGCTGCTTTGGCATTAGCATGGTGCAATTAAGAGTAAAGAGGTTGGGAGAAATTTAGTCGCTTATGCTTTTAGCTATGACTTAAAATTACCACTCACTTTCGGGGCTCAGCAGCGCCAACATGGTTTACTCCAGCCACAGATTCATCACCCAAATGGATGGCGTTTGCTAGCGCAACATCTTCTTAAAGTGTTTATATTTGGCTTTACGTAAACACCACCCATCGACTCACCGACAATAAAAAGCACCTCAATAATCATATCGAGTGTACGCAGAGTTCTTTCATTGCTGTCTTTTTGGAAGGCTGCATTGTAGGGCACCATGATGGCGAAGTAGAAGGTGCAGAGAACAATCAACCAGTCCCAAACTATCTTGAGGATGCTGTAGTGCAAGAGGATACACCGCGAAGCTTTTAAGTCCTGCACTTTGTACTCAGGAATGGAATTCTTGGTGGAGAGATGCGGAAGCTGAAAGGTGGAGGAGTGGAGTGTGGAGAAAATGGAATGGAGAATTTGTGGGACTTGTAATCGTGTAAAAACCCACTTCCTTGATGCTAACAATGAAAGCTCTCAATGTCGAGGGAGATTCTTTAAGAATAATGACAACCGTTCGTAGATTTCGGCTTCCTATGGATCACTCAGGGTGCATTAAGCCGGGAATTGTGGTGGTCATTGAGGACTAAAGTTTTGCTAGAGCCACTATTGTTGCATATGCTATGATGAAAGACAAATGAAGAATTCAAAGTGAATTTGGATAATTATCTACAGAAAAATCCAAGGATGAAGGAAAAGGGCTCACTTGACACACCTGTTTTAACTCTTGTTGTGAGTTGGAAAGTACTTTGCCCTCCTCCCGGCATAAATATTGCAAAAGTTATTAGGCTGTGCAATAGGGCGTTCCCTTTAGTGACAGCTACCGAAAAGCATGCCAAGAAAAAAAACTGTTTGGTCACAGGATCGTGTGATGCTTCGGAATCTCGCGAAGCTGCTGGAGCTCGCAGCCATTTGTCATTACGGGATTACTAAGAAGACAAGCTGAAGTAACGCACGACTTTGCTATGCAAAAATAAATTAGAGATGACAGACATCTGCTTGGAGACAAAACAGATTTTGGCAACTCCAAAACTTAGAAAGGTGATCTCAGGTCGCCAAAAATAGCCTAAAGGCCCCATACCATTGGAAACCCCTTCAAACAAACGAAACGAACTCCATAAAGCTTGCCTGATCCTAAGGCACACTGCGTGATCGCGATGCTAAGACTTCATGTGCATGCCTAATCTGAAATCCTTCATCTTCATTTGGAGGAAATTTTGTGTTAATTCCGTAATTTCACTGCAAAAGGTGGCTGAATTCTAGCACTAGATTTGATACACAAATACCCTCTTCTGTTTTGCTGTTAGGATAGAGTTCTGAAGTTGGTATTTGATGCGACCTGTGTCACTTTGAAGGAAGACTCAAAATTGTATCGTGAGAACACGTCTTATTAGTTGCAGCTGTGCAACTACTACGCATTACTTCCCACATTTCAACGGTGAGTCTTCATATTAAGACAGGAAGGGCATATCAGAACTCGAGGGCAGGAGAGTGGAAGACGATACTTTAAGCTTAAAAATTGTCGCCAAACCTATATTTATTTTTTGGCCTACAATAGCGTAAAGGTAGGTGTTGGAAAGAAAAGTTCAGGGTAACGCTAATGCTGTTTTTTTTTCCCACTAGACCGCATGCGCATTTTAAAGTGATTTCAAAGCAAACCCGATTTGAGACTCAGATCTGGAGTAGAAAAAGGGACAACGTAGACATCAAACGTAAATTCTGTCACTTTTAAATCCAAAATATAAAAGAACACTCGAATAAAGTGAAAACGGTGCAAAAAATTGAAGCAGATGGGGTTAAAATGCAATTCGCTTTTCGGTGACTGAGCTCACCACTGGGCAAATCGGAGCGGTGTACGAAGAGGACAATTTGGTGCTGCCTAATGCATGCACAGTCACTCCTATCCAATCCTCCGACTTTGTAGATCAGTCTTTGAGTGTTAAAAACTTAACACTTTGGATCCCCAGGTCCTTAATTTGAAGTACTCACACGTTACTCAAAATCTTTCCCCCTTCACTGAAGTCTCTCCCCAAGGCATTTTTGGAAACATCGACTCGACAAGAACAAAGAAAGGCTAATTTTACATTTCGTTTATTCCACTCCTTGTAACCATGCTTTTACATCTTTATCTTTTAAGAGTTTAAAAGTTTGCTTCTTCTTTTCGAAAGAAAAACACCCCAACTCTGACAATCAGTTGAAACATGGGTTTGAAGTTTGTTGCTTGAATTGATTAGGTTGCTCCAGTTTCTGCACAGTATCGAAGAGGAACGAACAACTTGCATAATTACATCCACGATGTTTACCTACGTAGACCTGCACAAGACATAGGGCCAATTTCGCCCCTACCTCACTGA